CCTCATTTCCGTGCTGAGCAAAGCGCTGTAACAGCACAGCGTTGTGATGGCAGTGTTGCCATGTTACCTAAAAAAGAGACTTAATTATGCATCTTGTTTTATCTACCTGTTTATTCTACCACACTCTCCTTCCCCTTTGATGTGTGTGCGCCCTTCAATTCTAGCGCTAAGCCACCATGTAAACCGTTATGCTAGTTTGTGCACCTCAAAAAGACTGTTGCGCCACGCTTGAGTTGAACGCCGCGGAGTGGAAATTATATCCGCGGTAATGTCATAAATTTACGCTCATTAACTGTGGAAATTAAACTCTACACCATCTTTCCGCACACCCGTGTGCCAAAGTCATTGCCTTATCCAGCTATCTGCAGGACTGGCCAATAACTATAACAACAACAACAACCACACAAGTAGAAGCACATTTAGCACAATTTCAACTATAGCAACTATGTAAAGTGACAGCAATAAGCCGCCGAGTGGCTGAGTGGTGTGCGGGGCGAGTAACTGAAGTGTCCGGATGTGCGACTGTTGATGCCATTAAAATTGTAATTATAATTTCACTGATTTTCGACAGTTGCTGGAAAAGGCTTAACGCCAGCCTCGTGCTTTGCGCTTAATGCGACAGTTTGCGCGCGCTCACCGCGCCTAGCTAAATAAATGCTGAAGCGTTTGTTTTATGGAGGTGAATGTATGTGTATGTGTGGTGCGGAAAATATCGGCCAATGATATTACCAAGCAGCTTTTATTCACTGCTTATCATTATTAGATTTGCTACTTAATGAGAGATTTGTTTCTATGTAATCGATTTAGCTTCAGCATCCGTTGCCTCTACCAGAGTTTTTGCCTTTGATTATTTACAGAAGATTATAGGAATTGGCATCAGTGTAGACTTTCAAAAAAATAGTTGTTTTCCATATTTTCAAAGTTTAACTATTTAAAAATATGTCTACGAGAGGTTTTATGAAAATTTAAATTATTTTCGGAGATATAGATATTTTACTGACCCGGCCTCCAAACTGATTCGGCTGGGTCTAATCGAACATAAGACTTTACGCGAAACTTTAAATGCGTTTTTCTCAGACCTGACTTTTTCAGTATGATACCTACGATTTATCGAGTTCTCCTGGACCGCTTTTTCTTTAAACTTTAGGAGATTCTTCTTTATATACCGCTCTCGAGTATGAACTAGCCTCATCCCCAAATTTCCCCTTTTGCTATTGTTAGAAAATACGACAAAATAAAAAAAATCGTTTTTTATTCAAACAGTCGGCAATTTGTTAAAAAAAAAATGTTTTACTATGAACTAGCGAGACAATTTTTTTCTGTACTCTTGTTATATTTATAAATAATTGATAAAAAATTCTATAATAGAAATATTGATATCCTTTTTTTACGACACCTAAAAAATTACCTAAAATTCATGTCTCCAGACTAGTAATAGGAGGATTTCGGAACCCAATTTTCTTTATAATAATTTTAATGTTGTAAACAGATATGAGGGTACTTTTGATGATGATCTCAAAACCTTTATAGAAAATCTTTTTATAGGTGAATATGCATAGACTAAATCAAATGTTCAACATTTTTGGTGAATTTGTGGCGAAGAAGAAAGCAATAAATGCAAATTTATATTTGGTTCTATGAACAAAGAAAGAAGTGCATATTTTTTAATGCGGCTCACATCTGATCAGAAAGACGCATATGTTACAAAAGCCATAACTTGCCTACATACTTTTATAAATACATACATATTTGTGTAAGGTTGGGTCATCATCTTCTTTAATATATTCTGGAAACAATTAATTATTATGTGAATTTCCAACAATTTTATTTTCCATAGAAGGTTAATTGGCTCCAATTTCAAAACTTCAGCTTTTGCCACCTTTCTGTAAATGTCCCCATAGTCGGAAGGAAAATTAGTATAAATGTTACACCTGTGCTTAGGCATTCCCATTGTCATTTAAAAACACCTGGGACAATGAAGAATCGTGTATGCATCAATATAACTATGTTAAGAGTAGTTTTTATATAATGACTCTCATTAGCCGACTACAGGAAGTCAATACGAAAATAAAGTAGCCAAAAAGTGTACATATGTTTTTTGTTGGTTATGTTGTAGCTCGTGTGTACTGTTTTCTTCACGTGGTTGCCCTTACTTGAAGTAGAGGATATACGAACTCAACTTTGTAGGCCTATTATAGGGTTAACAACTACACTTGTATTTAGGTTTATTGAAATATTATTTTATATAAGTTAACTTAGTGCTTCTGATGGAACTTTTTATTGATTTCATTTGTCACTCACATAACCTCGCACCTGTATAACCTCACAATAATATAGGCATCGCCGTACAATTCATTATTAGCATTTTAATAATTAAGTAGCCATGGAATTTCGTTATTAGAAGTAATCCTATTGCGACCGAAATATGAAAAGAATATCCGCTACTGGGGAATACATGCATATGTACATAATTAATCAATAATGCGCTTGTACGAGTCAGGGAATTCGTGTAGGGATTCATACATATGTTGCGTGTTGAACGCTCAGCTGTGGCGCAGTTACACGCATGTGATGGAACTTTCTACAAGCAGCGAGTATGTAAGTGTAGGTATGTATGTATGTAGGTGCGCCCATATATTAGGCATTTGTTGGCGACAGCACCAAACTGACAGGCAACACAAAAAACGGTACGAGTGGGCCTGGAAGTGTTTTAGGGTGCTCACTTGTAAGCGAGAGTGCACTAATTTAGGAAACAATTATTAATTGGCTCGAAAATTACGAAACTCTCGAACGCTTTCTCAATTTTGGAAATACAATAATTCTTTTCAGAAAAATATACTTCAAATGTGAACCAAATCGGACCACTGACTGCGTAGTTATTAAATGGTTACTTAGCACTCGTAATTCCATTGTTGAAAAAGGAAACATATACCAAATTATCTTCTTTCTTCAAAGACTGCTTTTTTGAAGGATCAGATGATAGATTACACTGAGCCCGACGTAGACCCAAAATGGCAAAATATTATAAATTCTATGACTCCAAGTTAGCCCGGCCGTCACGGTGCCTCAATTGGAGTAAATATCGCAATATACTTGTGTCGTAGACAGAACTTAACACGAATGTTGTAACAAACCATAATGGTATTCGTATATGTTGATTTAAAAATATATACTTTAAAGTTAATTGCGCGACACGAATTTGCCATTAGAGCAGCAGCCGATTGTTGTCAATGTACAACTTCTGCTCGCGCTCATACAATTAACTTTGTTCGGTGTATATTCTCTTAATGGCTGAGGCTATGTTATAAGCAAAGTAAACATGCTCATACCACACATATATACATATATGTACATCAATGAGTAAATTACCTGGATTTAGAAGCCCAATACAATTAATATTAACCACCTCAACAAATTTGTGACAGGCTTATGTCGACTTTCGAGGCTCCGGTTGATCCCAAATTAAGAGTTTTTGGCATTACAAAGGTCTAGCATTCTTAGTTGTTCAAGTGGGATCCTTTGTGATTTCTGTCGCAAGGATCAGTCAGTTTACCTAACCGAAGACAGAAATAACTTTTCAAAATTCTATAGGTCCTTTCTTTATAATTGCGCTCGTGCAATCGCTTCATCTGCAAAGCATATTGAGAAATTATTTTGGCGTAGTTCTGATTAATAGGAAGAAGACTTTATGAGTAACTTAGGTTTCAATTACCTATTCAAATTACACTTTCTTCCTACTTTTTGAAATTATATTCGATTATTAATTATCGATGATTTTTCTGCTGCTTAAAATTTAGCCAGTGAATTTTACTTGTGCTTATTAAAACTGGATTTCACAAGAGCTTGAGTTATTCTCATGGAGAGGTGGTTAAATTAACTTATGTTATTGATGTAGTACGAGACACAGTTAACTGCGATACCATATCTCAGATCCAAAATTGAAAATTTGAGGTTGTTCAATACAATATTGTATAGTGCGGACTTTCAAATATTAATTTCCAAGGTTTTTTTTTGAAGGGCTAAGTTCGGGTGTAGCCGACCATTTCATACTTATGCCACTTGCAAGGATCACAGCCGGAGAAATACCTGCAGGTGCTGGCCCAAAACTTTATAATAAAATATGTTGCCAAAGAATTCAACATTCATTATACGAAAAAATCGTGAATGAATTACAATGAAATTTGGTATTTTATTCTCAATTAGTTTCATATCTATATTTTACTTCCCGTCAGTGAAAATTATATTAAAATCATCCTCAAATGAGATATATCTGACATAAACTTCACCGAAGAGTCTAAATTTAATAAATTGATTTGATGTGCAAAATGTCAACCAGTAGATCGGAATTGATGATATTATAGGTATGAGATAAAGACCAAGGCCTAGAAATTACTATATGAAGAATAATTTAATTTTACATATTTTCGGCAAAAAACTAAATTTTATTCAATATTATACGTTCAGTTAATTTTGCTAAGATGTCTTTCATATTGACCGATATATACATCAAACCTTTTAGAGGACGGGCCACGCCCACTTTTTAAACATTTTCAAACAACAGGGACTCCTTATTATTGCGATTCGTTGTACCTCATTACTGTTTTCTATCATAATTTGCGGCTAAGTTATGGCAATTTATAGGTTTCCGATTAATAGCGTTTTGTGGGCGTGGTAATAGTTCGATTACGCCTATCTACAATACCAAACCTCCTTAAAACATGTGTACCTAGTTTCATTACGATAACTCAATTTTTACGCAAGATATCGCCTGCACGGACGGACGGACAGACGGACAGACAGTTACCCGGATTTCAACTCGTCTAGACATCCTGATCATTTTTATATATATAATCCTATATATATATGTGTATATATCTCGATTAGTTTTAGGTGAACAAACAAACATTAATTGAAACAAACTATTATAATCTGTAGCAACATGTTTCAAGATTATAAAAATTGAAATAAAAATAGTTTACCTTGTTCAAAGTCAATATCCCTAATTTCTTACATGGACGGTAGGGACCTCATGAAAAGTATCTCAACATTTCTTTCCACTTACAGAGATTGTTGATAGAATCAGTATTCAAAGCAATATCACTCATAAACATACATAAAAACACATATTTGTATATACCTGCCCATTGTTATAAGCATACACACACACACATACAAAACAGCAAGTAACCCGCTTCTTGGTGTATTTGTTCTTGCCGATGTTGTGTTTTGTTCGATGGCGAACATGTTGCCACGTCCAGCACACAGCCAACCGGCCAGGCGGGGGGCAGCGAATAACACAACAGCACGAACAACCTGTGAGCTCCGAGTTGTCGTTGCAAGCCAACACAACAGCCACGCACATCTACCCATACACACACACGCTCGTACACGCCGTCACACGCATGTGGCTGACCTGGGGCGCAGCGCTGGCGACAGCAGTGCGGCGAACAAAAGCGATTCGGCTGCTCAGTTGTGTTTTGTGCGGCGCGTGTGATGGTTTTCTCGGCTCTCTATTGGCGCATCGACGTGACTCCACTCGACTTGGCTTGACTCGGCGTTGACACGCAAACCAGAATGAAACGTGAATTGCTTGTAGACGAAAAAAAAAACAAGAAAATAAGCAAACAGAATTTAAATAATTAATGTACAATAGCAACAAAGTGGCAACGTGTGAGTGAATTTGAAGCTTTGAAGAAAAAAAGTTGAACTGCAGTGAATGCGCCAAGAAGTTGGGGGGGTTTTCTAGCAAAGTAGTGCTTGACAATCGATTTTTGCTAATAGTGAGCAACAATGTGAACCACAAAACTCGCCGGCCGCGAGTCTAGAAGCTTGTACACAGAAACAGACGCGGTGAATTTTGGAGTTCAAATGTAAATAGAGTTTTCGGCATTAAAATTCGACGCAAACAGTGGTGTTGTTGTAATAATTGAACTCCAAATATTTAAGTGGAAATATTGTACCAAAATACATACATACATACAATATTAATGTGAATATGAGCGTAGAAATTAGAAATAGTGAAATTACTTGTGAATCGAATTAATTTATGCGCATAACTGGCGTATCAATATTAATTTGTGTGTAAAATACAAAAAATAAAAAATATACAACAATAACAAAACTATCGTAAAATTTCAATTTCAACCTTAAGCAGCGTCCGCACCAACAAGCATCATCTGTTTTTACTAAGTAAGTGAGTGGCCAAGCCACCAGCGAATACTAGTGTGTTTGTGTGTGTGCGATAGTGACTAAATCTCAGTATAAGCGGTTTTTTGTGTAGTTTTCAGATGTTGCTGTACTAAATCGTCTGCTTGTGCTGTCTGTCTGTCCGCCTCTGCTGCTGCGCGTTCACTAAAAGTGCGAGTATCTGTGAGATACAATTTCGCACGCTTGCACTCAGCGCGCCCTCAGTACTGTGGCAGGGCAATAAAATGCCAGAAAAAATTTAAGAGCAACAACAACAAAAGACACTAGCACATGCACTGCAGCAAGTTTGTTGCTTTTTATTTATCTGTCCTCTCTCTTTGCTTCTTACCGCCGCGCGCTGCTCACGTTGTTGGCGATTTTCGCAGTACTCTTTGCTTTGATCTTCGCCTTTCAGCGAAGCTATAAAAAGTAGCTGCACTTATGCTTTCTTGTGTTTTAGTATGCAATTTTTTGTTGACTTCTTTTCAGGGGTATTCCCCTGTGGCAGCTAAAGTGAATGCATTTCGCAAGCACAAATGGATTTCTGTAATTTATATATGCAGCTGTGTGCATCTGCTCATATATATGTGTGTTTGTGTGTGTGTTGCATTCAAAGCGCTTATAAAATTCACTTTTCTGCTGCGCTGCTACATTTTAGTCGACTTTTGGCCGATAGTTGTTTTTTTCCACTTTTCATAGCATTTTGTTTTGTACATCTGTTTGTGTTTGTTGTTGTTGTATTTGATTATCTCACGCTGTTTGCTTGTCTGCTAGTCCAACTATGTTATCTGTAAATGTAGCGGCTTGTTTCTTCGCCCACTGGCTTTATCATTTTTGGTGTTCCATTCTCTCAGTGTTCCGCAGTTGTTGCATCTTTAAATCGCGGACTTATGAAAATACCGGCAGGGGAGGGTGGGAGATTGTATATTTACCATAGGCATTCATATCAGTAATCAGTTTGAGTTTTGTAGAAATGATTTTGACATCTGCCTCTACAAGGTGCGGTCCAAAGTAAACAGGACTTTTAAAAAAAAAAGACAGAACAAATGGTTTTATCAGCAAAATCAATTAATTTTATTCTAAATAGTCTCCTTCTGCTTTAATACAGCTGTTTACACGGTCCAAAAGCATGTCGAACGAGTGTTTTAGCTCGTTGCCCGGTATGACCGCCAGTATGCCGGTGCAAGCCAATGGCCTCCACGTCTGCATAACGCTTTCCTTTCATCGGCAAATGCATTTTTCCGAAAAGATAGAAGTCGAAGGGTGCCATATCAGGTGAATACGGGGAGTGGTTGATTGTTAAAATGTGATGATGAATTCACGCACAGTTTCGATAGAATTTTCGGTGATCACGAATTTTGGTTGGCCCACATGTTCATCGTCATTTATGTCCTCACGACCACTTTGAAAACGTTGAAACCACTCGTGCACTCTGCTACGGGATAGGATCGCCATAAACTTGTTTCATCAATTGAAACGTTTCGGTAAAAGTTTTACCAATTTAAAACAAAATTTAATGTTGGCTCTTTGTTCGAAGCTCATTTTCGCAGCGATGACAAAAACATACTGACACTTAAAACGAAATAACTTCACTTCGAATAGATGAAATGTCATCAAATTTTTACTGGAAATCGATAAAGGATAGCAGATTCTAACGCACTAGTCGACATATAGATGGCGCCTCTAAAGTTTACTTTGTTACTTTTTTACTGTTCACTTTTGAACGCACCTTGTAAACCACTCTCGTCAGTTTGCTATGAAACCGCATGTGTGGACTGATCTCAACAAATTACATATAATTGTAAATCGGTCAGGAATGGTCGTCAAAATATTGAAAAATACGACGAAAAGATGCTGGACCTTACTTTTACTTGGAACTTTTACCAAAGAAATATCACGGTAAGAGTCCGAAGACTCATTTAATATCAAATACATGGAAGAAGAATTCGCGCAGACATGGTTGATCAGATCTTAAATAGTACTATGCACTAACAATTGATATACAAACTTTATTATACAAGTTGTTACTAAAGTAAGTTCAATTTGTAAACGGAACAAATTGCACCGCAAAGTATTGTTTCAGAGCCTTTGGAAATAATGTACAAAAAAATCCTTTTAAGAAGTTTATGGGACCAAGTACAAGACACTTACTTACTTCTGTGTCTGAAAACTAGCCTCTCAAATGCTTCCTCCTTTCAACATAATGCTATCTATTTCTTGCTGCTAATTTCAAACTGTTTTGAGAAGGCAAAAACTCTCTTCACTGAGTTCAAGAGATTTTTTAGTACAAATAATACTTGTAAAAGTGGTTTTCTCTCTTTGTCTTCTTGCTGTTTTATGATTTTAAGTTATAACACACAGTATACTCCTCATTTTTGTTGTTGCAAAGTTCTTATTTAGATTTAAAGAACAATGAAGGTTAGTAAATTTTGAAGTTTTTCATGAAATATACTATAAGTATAAAGAGGCTTATTGATAATAAGAATACTGCTGTGGACCAATTAAAAAACTGAGATTTGACCAAAAGAACAAAAAATTCAATGTCGGTCGGATGTTGGTCAAATAATATTTTAATACTATAGTAACTGCAGCTGTGTGTGTTTTCGATTTGTTCAAGAACCAAAGTGATTAAAATAGCCAATATCTGATAACTTTGAGGGGCGTTGTAAATTACGAAAAATATTTTTGAAGCTGACGAAAATTATGTTCAGTATTGCCGAAGTCATTAATTACTGAATATGAGTACTCATTTACTTTGCAATTACTATTGTACTCATAAAAATTCGACAACGTATAATTGCAGCGTTTTGAATACAATGAGGTTGTGAATTATGATCATGGGTAAAATAAAGCTTTTTTAAAATTGTGATCGGAATTTCACTAATTCAATATTATCGTAAAAATAGCATAATAATGAAAACTCTGTAGCACACTGCGGCTCAAAATCTAAAGGCGAAGCGTTTACTTAAATTCCATTCTCGGAATGAGCAGCCTCCAACCTTGCGGTAATGTAATGTTGCATAAAATATACATAAGGGATTTTTTATTTGATGTACACTACGTTGTAATGAAAGCAACAAAATGTGCGCTAAAATATTCTCTGCTTTCATTTTTCAATAACAGTATTTTTTCAGTATTTTAATTTTCACAACAATCGTTCATGTTTATACCCTGTACGAGATATTTTAAGCTCGCCATTAAGTTTGTAACACTCAGATAGAATTTTTGGGACTTAAGTATATATGTATATACATATCTAACTGATCAGCGTGACGAGCTGAGTCAATTTAGTTATGTCTGTATACACGTGAACTGGTCACTCAGTTTTTGAGATATCGATCTGCATCGCTATAATTTTCGAATTAAATATTCAGATCACTATTATAACATATAACTGCTATTCAGACTGACCGATCCAAATCAAGATAGTGATCTTCGTAAAAGATCTTTTTATTTACTTCTAATGCTCATATTTCGACTTGAAGATTGCTTATATCAAACAATGTGGCTAGAAAGAACTAGCAAAATGTTTTCCGTTGAATGCAAACCGTTGACCGCTTACGTTTTCAGATTTAGTTAACACTAGACTACGAACTTGCCCAAACGACCGGTTGCATCATTTACTTAGAGTTTCCTCTTTATTCCTATTAAATATTTTACGATAATGTCATGATTTTTATTAAATTTATGCATAGAATAATATTATAGATTATTTTGTTCTTACGCTTCTAATTTTCAGAGAGAGAGAGACCTATTTGAAATAGATATAAGGTAAATCTTCGTAGTTTTAGTGTTAAACATATGGTTGCTATAAGAAATGCACTTGTGAGGGGTATTATAGCTTCGGTCGAAGTAAACGTTTTGTCTTATTTTTATTTACCGTTATCACAATATTTTCTCAGCATTTCAATTATATTTGGTTATTTGGTTTTTATCGTTTACATTACCACCAATAACAATAACATTGGCGTTACAACAACATTGCAGTCTGCATTATAGCTTGAATTAAAGTTTCAACTGTCTGCTTCACTCGAAAGCTTAACTTTTTCATATTATCCGCATCACCCGCTTCCCGTTGGTGCATTAAATATTAATGAGCGAGTGCGTTGTTACTTTTGCTTCGGCAATCGAAGTTGTAATGGCAATCTGTAGGCCAATATAAGTAACTCGCAAGCAGGCACATACACACATATGTACATTTGTTTTAATGTTAGGGTGTCCGCTACGGAAAAAATCAATAAGAAAGTTTTTACAGATCGAATAATTTTTATTGAAATATAACTTTTTCAAATTTGTAGTTTGTTTGTTTAATGCAAAATATCAAAAAATGCCATGTATGAAACATGATTTAGGCAAGGCTTAAATTGTTTTTTTTTGTCTTTAATAAAAACTGAAACTTCACAGGTCGTCTGCAAAGAAGTCGACTTGTGAAATAACGGTTACCCTAAAGTATATAGAGATTTGTATATATGTGCATGCTGTGCATTACAGGTACAACGCTTTGATTGTTGCCTTTATTGTGTATTTTGCTGCAATTACATGGCACCACTATGACTTTGTACAAGTATAACAAACGCAACAAACAAAAAAAGACAGGTAAACAAAAAACAGCAAGCAACGTGAAACGTAAACTGCACTCAATTGAAACAAAGCAAAACGAAATGACAAAAACTAAAGCAAAATAAAATGCACGCGAGTGTACTGAAATGAAACAACGCGTTTTCTTAACAATTTCCCGCCACTTGCTACTCCAGCAAATATGTCAACACATACCCACACACACATGTTTTTATATTAGTACAAATGTACGACTGTGTGTATGAATGCACCACTGGCCGCGAGCTCTATAAAGCATTCCAACAATTTCATTAATTATGCATTTTATGCCATAACATACGTTCAATGGTTGTATAACACTCGTACATGGCGATTTATATACACACATTTGTTTGTGTCTTTTTCACTTTTCCATTGCAGTCGCATTGTTGAGTGAATTCCACCGT